TTTTTTTTTTTTTCTTTGATTTTTTTATTGTTCTTAACAGTTGAGGAAAAATTTCATTTTAGAACTTTTCTGTTAGCTTAAATAGAAATATTTTTTCTATTAGTTTTTTTTTAGATCACTATACACCACTTGTTGAGGTAAATTAAATTACAGCTGTTAACAGCGGTATTGCCTGCTACGCTTGATCTTTTAAATTTTTTTTCTTCTACAATCTTTAAACATAGTAAGGCAAAATAATTTAGCAGATTATTTCCAGAACCAAATATTACTGTGAGCTCCTAAAGCTACTTCGAATAATTTAGCAAAAATTTGAAAAATATCTGAAAACTCTTGAAAATATTAAGAATATTTTAGGCGAATCAATATTAGTCAGTCATTTCCTTTTCCAAAATTATTGCTTTTGTAGAAAAAATAAATAAACAAGGAAAATTTTACACTGTTGAAATGTTTGGTTTACCAAAACTATTTATTACTTTATTTCTATTATAACAATTGATCAGCGCTGTTAGCAAAAATGTTTCCATAGTTTAGCTTAAAAAGCATTTGTTTACTTTTCAGGTTAACAAATACCATGTAGCTAAAAAAGTTTCTTTTCTTCACCTTCCAACTACTGAACTTCTAACAGCATATTGAGCAATCGTCAAAAATAAAAAAAGCCTTTTCTTTTCTCCAAATAATTGTTAATTTCAAAAGTTAATTGAGAGCTGTCGTCTGCAACTGCAATGTGCATTAAATAGTCAGAAATAGAAAAATTTTCCTTAGAACGCTTCAAAAAAACTAAATTTTTAACTTATTTAAAGTTTTAAAAATAAGTTTGGCAAGCTAAAACTGAAAACTTTTCCAAAAATTCCAACTTCTTCTGACACCAAAAACAGCAACTATCTTTGGAAACGCCAAGTGTCAGTGGGCGATGCGTTACATGAAGATTTTTCAAATGTTTCTTGCACAAATCTTTTCAGCTTGTTCAAAACAAATTAAAAAACTTTATCAAATAAAACTTAATCTCAAAAGTAGTAAACGACTGATTTAAACCTACAAAATCTTCTGACCAATCTACAAAGTTGATATTACTGATAATCTCATAAAGCTAAGCAGTGATCAAAATATAAAGTAAATCTTTTCAATGTGATCATTTGGTATTTCTAAGTGTTTCTGCAATTTTGATTTCTAACTCTGTTTTAGAATAAAGTTTTGATAAGATTTTTTTTTGTATTCGACCAATCAAAGGCGAAATGAAATCTTTTCGGTTTTTGTACTTTCACAGTTCATTTTCATAGATGACAGATTCATACAAAAAGAAGCTAAAAAAAACCCTAAGACGAATTCTACATTTGTCTGAAAAACTAATTCATTCTATTTTGGTTAACAAAAA